TATATATATATATATATATATATAGTATATTAAACACCCTAATTAGAACCGATGAAGAGTGCGGTCGAAACATACACGACATTTATAAAGTTTGAATTCTTGTAATGAGATTGTTTTTCCGTTAACCACATGATCTGATATTCAAGCCTTAGATATGAAACGTTTTGTTTTAATTTGAATTTGAAAAAGTAGAATACCAGATTGAATAACTGTAATGTATAAATTATAAAGGTAGTTGATGGATGAGGTAGAAAAGTAGGTGCATTGACAAAAGAAGAAGTTTTTTTGGGCTACTTTTTCCTATGCAATTGTCTTCTTCACATCCAACATCACTTTTTATGTTTTTCCTATCATGTATACGTACCATCACACACTCTCTCATTTCGTTGTTTGTTTAATTTGTGGTCCTCTAGAAAAAATAAATGCATAAGTATTTCTTTTAATCTATATTCGAAATTTTTGTGACATATTATTATTTATCTGAACTTATTTTATAAATAATTTTCTACCTCTTTTCGGTCTACATGACACTATCTTGTGTGTCCAGTGCACGTTGACAAAGCTACTGTCACGTAGGCTGAAAAGGAGTAAAAAGATATTTATTGTAAAATAAGTTCAGGAAATAATAAAATCGTTGTTTAGTATAAGTGTGTCTCTGAAACTTCGAGCAAAGATTAGAGGTACTTATGCGTTTTTTCTTTTAATTTATTTTATATATATAGTTTCATTATTACCTCTTCCTCTAACTACCAGTACTACTCTTAATTAATTGACTACTACTTGCTATTCAATTAAGTTATTACTGATCAAAAGAATCATCTCAAAATATGTCTGGGAGAAGGTCAAGGACGCAGTCATCAGAAGGAGGCACCTCCAGGATTTCAGATGATCAGATCATACAACTCGTCTCCAAATTGCAGCAACTTCTTCCTGAAATTCGTAATCGTCGCTCCAACAAGGTTTTTGTTTCTTCCTTCCATATGCATTTCGTTTCGGATATATACTTCTTTCGGTGCGAATGTACATACTCAATATTCTGACGTACTATAAATATAATAGGCCTCTTATTATAATTTAGCTTGTTGTTGTATGTATGTATGTTCAAGTATGAAATTTGTACATGCATCGGTAATGCACTCTAAAATGTCACTGTACCTGTAATGTCAGTTTAGCCGGAACATAATTTAGTGCCGTATGGCTCACTCTTTTCTTTCTTTTTATTTTTTTATTAGAGTTAATTTTAAGGTTCGTTGTTAAAAGCTATCGAGGTGTGAATGAGAAATAATAAGAAAAAATGAAAAATGTGGGAAATCGATTTAGAGAAAAAATGAAAAGTATACAATTCATTTCTCTCATAATTTTAGAAGAAAAGAAATTTGTTATCCTTATATTAGGAAACAATTTTTTTAGTTCTTGGAGAGTTAAAAAGAAGGTCTATCTCGCGCCGTCGTCGCTCAACTTTGATTTCTTTCGAAAAGATATTATTTTTTCTTAAAAGATACAACATTCTGAAAAGATACCATTGCCAGATCAAAAGCGTTTATTGGGGAATTAAATTTTTTAAAAAATACTGTGTGTTCTATGAACTCAGATTTTATTTTCTTATTTGTTTCTCTCTTTTTTTTTTTTTTCTGTTTCTACTTTTTGACTAACGTGAATATATAAGATATAATTATCGAAAAGTGAGGACAAAACACCATTGGTTATATTGATTTAAAATAGCATGATTTTTTTTTCGCTTTTTAAGTACAATCTGGAAAGAGTAAAAGAGTGTCGTTGAAAAAGGAGAAAATTATTATATATTTACAAAAAAAATTCCCCGTAATTCCAGAATAATGCTTTGGGTCCCATATATATAGATGCATAGAACCAATTCAGAATTTACTCAATATTTGACTTTTTTTTTAGTCGTCCACCAATTAAGGTATGTTTTGTCTATAAATTTAAATTTTATACGTTTACAATAATATTTATATGTTATGTATTTTATGTTTATATAGAAATCGACAATGAATTTACGAATCGATCCGTCGCAGGCATCAGCATCTAAGGTGCTTCAAGAAACATGCAATTACATTAGGAATTTGCATAAAGAGGTGGATGATCTTAGTGATCGACTTTCTCAATTATTATCAACCATTGATGCTGATAGTCCAGAAGCTGCAATTATTCGTAGTTTAATTATGTAATTTTCAATCATTTATTTATATATAATTATAATTACTATATTATATATATTTGGATGCACTAATTAATCTACTAAATATATACATATATAGTTCTGTATTTCTTCTTAATTCGATCTCTAGATTTTGGTCAATATTAATTAGCTAGGCCAATCTCATAATTAATGGTGTGCTTGTATTGATGTTTACAAATTTTAATTATGGAATTTGCTCAACACTGTAATTCCCCTGTACTAAAACATTTATTATTTGTTTTTATTTTTTGAGAGTCAGATTATTAACATTTGAAGATGCTATATGTTGCATCAACTTGTTATAATAGTGGAATATTCAATAATTAATTTATAATTTTAAAATATTAAATTAATTTATTCTATTTAATTTAATTAGCTTGGATAATTAATTAAATTAATTTACGGAAGTGAAAAGTTGTATTAGGAGGGAGGGATTATTTTTTTTAATTTCAGTTCAGACCTATATATCGAAGCAATAAAGTATTCTTGAAGCAGGAAAAAGAAATACTGAATATCGTATGTGTGCGACTGTCGACTGTCATTTATAGGACTCGTTTGGTTATAGATATTTTAGGTAAAATTTGGGAGGAAATTTTATAAATAGTATTTGTTCGTACAATTTGTTATTATTTGACATAGTTTAAATATTCAAATATTAGAAAAAAATAGTATTTGGGTCAAATTTCATTATTTGAAAACTTTAACAAATTCAAATTCTATACCAAATTTTTATTTTTTTCAAAAACATCTTCTACAGTACTCTCTCCGTTTCAAAAAAATGGTTTCACTTGACACGGAGTTTAAGAAAATATAGAAGACTTTGATCATGTGGTACTAAATTAAAGTTATGTCAAATGTACACATTGTCCTTTAATTTTGTGGCCTTAAACATACCATGTGAAGAGTTGTTATAAAAAAAAAGAAGAGGTAATTCTTTTTTAAACAGTCTAAAAAGGAAATGAGATTATTATTTTTTAAACGAAGGGAGAAGTTGTTTGCGTTGAAAGCATGAACTCAGAATGTGACGACTATTTTCACTAGTTTCAAAGGCTTGTGTATTACATAATTTTTTACGTAAACATCAAAACAGTGATGAAAAATTTAATAAAATATGAAAGTGATGATATGTTTGTTGATGAAAATGACGAACAATCGATTTAGGATGATAAAGTCATGTACTTCGTCTACTTCACGATTGATGAATGATACTTGATGCATTCACTCTGAACTATCATATTGTCTAGTATCAAGAACATTACTTGTTATTTGCTGCAACAAAGATTCAATTGAATTGTTGTGAAAGTCATGAATCTTATTATGTTGATGTTACTATCTTGCTATGTAATACAAATATATGGTTAATTTGTTAGTTTTTTAAAATTATATGTATAAGTTATATTTATTAAAAAAGTAAAATATACCCAAATATTATAAATAAACACACAATGAATTTCACTCAATAATATTTATTAAAAATTTACCGTCAAACACTATCTTAAGGTAGAAATTAAAACATTGCCCAAAAACATTTTTAAAAAAGAATGATAATAGACGAACACCACAATATGGTTAATAAAAATATTTTAAAAATGAATTAGTTAATATAATTAGTATTTTTTGAAAAACATATTTTCCAGAAAAACTATTTTGTTTAAAATATTTCTAAAAAAACAAACAATTAGCCAAACAGGCTTAGGCCAATCAGAATATGATAAGATATGTCTCATTCATGTCCTGTCATTGACAGAGCTATTTACTCACTCACTTCTTTTAATAGCTTATTTAGTTTTAATCTTAATTTTAATTTTCCTATATTTTATTATAATTATAGTATTAAATATATTTGGTACATGCATTTGATATGTCTCTGACTTTAAACTACACCAATTAATTTATTTATTTTTAAGCTTTATGTCAAATTAAAACAAATCAAATAAATTAAAATGAAGAAATTAATAATTTTTATATCGGAAAGAATCCAACGAACATTCTTAGGTAGAGTAATAGAGACATAATGCAGTGATTAGAGTATTGGTTTAATTAATTCTTTATGAAATGAGAAAATGACTTCTTAACGAAACCACGTTAGCGTTCACAGTAAACTACTCTTTTTTATGATTAAGAAAGTTGATAATTAGATGAATGCATGCCAATAAAATGGGAATAATGTATTAATGTTAGGCTAGAGATAGAAATTCTATAGTGACAATATATGGTATATATTATTACTAACAGAAACAATTTTTAATGACAATAAATAAAAAAATACATTAATAAAGAGTATTAAAGTCTTATCAGTATTAGTTAAGTATCACTAGATTCAGTATCGCTAAAAACTTTAAGGATATATACACATAAATAAAGTTAAATGCAACTAAAAATACATATTTAGCGACAAATAAGCTATTGCCGTTAACTTATAGCCGCTAAAGATCATTTTTTATGTAATGTATATATGTTATCGTTCATTACAAGAAACCACTGATGGACAAAATTGTGTTGTTAAACAATAAGAATCTTATGCTAATTATAAGTTATTTAGCTAACAAATTATAAGTTATTTGATAAATTTTAAAGCTAATTTCTTATTTTCTAGTAATGATATTTTGGTCGACATATTTGTAAATATATATTAAGAGAAAGGGACATTGACATTGGTGTTATAAAAAAAATGTCCTATTAAAATCAAATAAAACATAGTATATATGTAGAGAAGATTGTGAGCCCTCATTTGACTAAATAAGACTTTGATGTTGCCTTTACCTTTATGAATGGTCACCTTTAGAGAGGACACAAAATCAAGAAACCCTGTGTCATATCAATTTCATTTGTTGAAAACTGATCCCAATATTCACTGTGTAGTCGACAAATATATATTACTAGATACAATATATATTATTTTATTTATTTTAATTTATATAATTTTTTTGTCAACTTTTTATAATATTTTAACATATTTTTAAATAATATATGTGGCATATGTGATATTTTGAAAGTTAATCGATTTAAGTATATAATTTTAAAATAATATAAGTTATTTTCTATCCTTATTTCTACGTGACACTTATGAAATTTCAAGAGTAAATCAATTTTCGATATGCTTTTAAGTTTGTGGTTTATAATATTTCTATAACGTACTTTTTAAATAATATATTTTATTTATGTTATCCCAATTTATACGGTTCATGTAAAATGTAGAGAGTTAATTACATTTTAATATATTTTTAGAGATTTGTTTTGAAATACAAATTTGAGATATCGTCTTTTCTTTTTCAAACTTTTGTATCTCTAAAATTATATACATTTTAAAATTTAAATTTCTCATTAATTAAATTATTTATTTATATTTCTCAGTAGTCATAGTTTTATAATGATTTACATTTTTCATTAGTTAATTATAAGAAGTTGGAAAAAACAGTAGCAAACAAAGAAAATGAAGGAAGACAGAATGACTTTAGGCCTCTTTAAAAGGCACAAAATTGTAGCTTTATTTACAGAAAAGTACAAAACAGCTAAAGTAATAAAATACAATATTAAGGGCAAAAGATAAATGGAAGAAGTACGGCAGAAGCATCATAAAAAAGCACCAAAATATAGCTTTAATTACAAAATTGTACAAAATAAGTGAAGCAATAATGTAGAATATAAAGGGTAAAATATAAATCTACTTAGTTAAGTATGGAAACCACGCAGCTGATACAGACACGTCGACCGAGAGTTTCGTAATTTCTCTATAAACTACAAGTTTAAGAATTTAAGCATATAAATATTCAAGTTAGTAAATCACCTAATATCAGTTTCACAAATTTTAAAAACAAACTCACAAGCCTTTGAATTCAAGAATAAGACAAGATCAAGTTAAAATTCATCAAAATTCAAGATCAAAATCAAAGGCTCTTGAGTTCACATACAAGTCAAGAACAAGTTTATCAAGATTCTAGATCAAGCTTTGAATTTATTCGAAAACACAAATAAGAGAATTCATAAAGTTTATAATAATTGTTGCGATATTTCTCTGTTTTGATTATTATTTTCTTGATACAAATTTTATCGTCTATATATATATATACATTACATATAAGAGATTTTAGGACTTGGAAGCTTTTGACGGTAACAAATTGTAATACATCAAAATATTTGTTGCTTCTCAAATTGATAAGTGAATGACTTGATATGTAAAATAAATTGTACATAAATAACATGATCCGTTGATAAGTAATGTCTCGTAAAACACGGTATATTTTGGTTTTTGAAAAGTTCACCTTTATATTAGGGGAACACTAAATAAAATCGCCACCAACCGGCCATATATATGGAAGGGCCATTATAGAGGACTGCACTGGCATTAAATTTGAACTTATTGCAATTATTATAAGTAGAAGGAAAAAAAAATCTCAATTTAATAATAATTGTCTACTATACTATTTTAGAATATCTAATTTTATTTATTTATGAAATTAACGAATAATATTACACTTAGTTTCTAATTTATCTTTATCATTAATTATAATAATTAATTTTCTATTATATTTTTCAAGACATTATTGTTCAGGAAATTAAAAAGTAATATACTGAAATTATCGTTTCATTTATTGGTGCTTAAAATGTTCCAAAATTAATAATAAACAAATATTATTAGACAGGGGAGTATATAATTTTTTTTTTGTCTAAATGCTACTAGACTTTGGTAATCTTTGTTTCTTTAAAAGTAATTATTGTAAAAAAAACAAAAACATATCCTCATTCTTTAACTAATTCTTGCAATATACAACGTTGGAGGTGTGAAATTTGTAGTTTGAACAACTTAAATTAGGTAGATTTAGTACCAAATATTGAAACCATTTTTATGTGTCTGTTTAATACAAAGTATTTTTTTTGTTTAAAAAAAGTATTTCTGAAAAATAATTTTTTTAACATTCAACAATTGCATATAAGCATCTAAAGATGTATTTATGTGATGCAGAAAAATAATATTACGATTTATGGGATAGTGGTAAAAGGGTAGACGTTGGGATGAAGAGGACGCAAAGAGCCCATAAACTTGAAATGCTATTGATAAAGCATTTTTTTTGGGAAAAATTTCATATATGACAAACTTATTTGATTAAATAACATTATATGGGTATAGTTTATCTAATTACATTACATGGGTATGATTTAGTTATTTTAGGTATCTTTAATTTTGTATATAAAGATTTTTTTTATTTATACAATTCTA